TTAAGAACACAATAGAGATACGGCAATGTGTCAGCATGAGGATAATTCCAATGATTGTTCCAAACTGCATGGCTATTCAGAATGTCAGCCACTGACTAATATATTATATACATATATATATATAGTGAAACAGAGCTGCCAGGTGCACCATAGGCAGAGAGGGAGGGAGAAGAGGGACAACAAACGAGGGGCGGTGACAAACTGTTTCGTCGGAGTTTCACCGACTTACTCATCAGGATATAAACTACAGGTAGTGGAAAATAAAGAGAATCGAGGAGAGTAAATATGTGTAAGGAAGAACAAGGGAAGCAACCGGGAAGAGGATGTAGAGAGAGAGAGAGGGGGGGAGAAAGAAACACCGAGACAGGAAGAGGGGTTTTGAGAGAGAGAGAGAGAGAGAGAGAGAGAGAGAGAGAGAGAGAGAGAGAGAGAGAGAGAGAGAGAGAGAGAGAGAGAGAGAGAGTCATTTGAAAAACGCACGCCATCAGTGAATACGAACCAATCAGCATTTCGGAAAGATGCATGATCACGGTTCGCTGCTCCAAAGATCTTTTTCGCTTCTTCTTCTGCAATGATCTTAACGGTGTTGCGATGGGTCAATCAAACCCAACGATCAAAAAAGAAAAAAAAAAAGAAAAAAAACTATCCTTTCTTTTCCTTTTTTTTTCTTCTTTTTTTTTGCTCGCGAGGCGCCTGCGACGAACAACGTTGTCGCGATGGGTCAATCGGATAGTTCCTTTTCTTTTTGTAGAATGATTCGAATGGCTGAACAGATCAATGAGACACCGAAAACACACACACACACACACACACACACACACACACACACATTCACTGCCATTCTAGTCAGGGGTCTGCACCGACAGTCTGCTAGGATTGCAGGGTTGGTGTGAGTAAAGTCGACCACTTTTCTCTCTCAAGGGTATCGCTGCTAACTCTCATGGACTCATGATGAGTCCACCTGATCCATCAGTCAAATGCATCCTGCGCAGAGTGTCTGTCGGGGTTCAATCTCCTGGTGAGTCGGTGAAAGCTCGACCAAACAGTCTGTTCGGCACAGTCATGCTTCTTTTGTGGAGTTGTGTATAGCGAACATGACAACACGCACACACACACACACACACACACACACACACACACACACACCACACACACACACACAAACACACAAACACACACACACACACAAACACACACACACACACACACACACACACACACACACACACACCACATACACAAAAGCAATGGCCAAATTACTTTAAGACACGCTCGATAGATCACAAACACAAGCTGTGCACGTCTTTGTTCTTAGAACGCGCACATCCCTCCGATTTCACCGAGAGATTTTTTTTTTTTTGACCTAAATTCACCTCACAATCTACAGAAGGGGGGCGGGTCGGGATAGGGCATGGTGGAGTGGATGCGAAAGGGCGGGAGGGGGAACCCCTTTTTTCTCACAAACGCTCTCAACACAGCTCTCCGTGCCGTGTTGATTGAGCTTTAGTGCGACAAGGCGATGAAGCTCAATCAACACGGCATAGCTTCTTTCGATGCACCATAATCGAGACCACATTCAGCGGAAAAGTACTAGGACCTCACCGCACTACGGACGCATGCGCGGGAACACGTTGAGAGCAGCCAGTCATCGCCAAGTGGTGCGGCGAGGTCCTACTACTACTTTTCTGCTGAATCTGGTCTCGATTATGGTCAGACACATCTAAAGAAGTTCTGCTGTGAGTATTACTGTATTTTATTCTTCTCCTTTTCTAAAAACCCAAGTTTATAAACAGTGGAGAAACATTCGTCTTAGAGGCTGAATCTGGTCTCGATTATGGTCAGACACATCTAAGACGAATGTTTGTTTGCTTCTAAACAGGGGTCAAGAGGGAATC